TCCAAAGGGTTTTGCAGTTACAACTCTGGTACGGTACGATTCCTTACCGCGTACCTTACAAAATGTATACTGACTGACAAAATGGTTGTGACCAGGATAGGTTTTTCTTGTGCTAGTTAAACTTTTCTGACAAATAACCTAGGATTTGAATACATTTGTTTCAATGGAAATGAAGGTTTTTAAACAGCCTTTAACAATCTTGTAAATGAATTAATGAATATTGTGTTAGTAGACACCCGGAGGCCGAAAGCGAGGACTTGTTCTTTGGGTTTTACAAAGCATAGAATTTGCATCATCAGGTAGGTACGTTTTGTTAGCAATTATTTTCTTATATAGATTTGCGTAATTCGGGTCGGTGAAGAAATAGGAACAGTTTTTTTCACATCACTTCATCGTCTTCATCTACTCTACTCTAAATTTGGCCAGAATAGTTTATATTTCTGTCCTTTGTGTTGGTCACATAAGCGTATGTGCTGCATTGTTAGAAAACGTGTTTGGCACTTTTGAGTCGCTTCTCGGTGATTAGTGAACTGTGGGTGAAGGCTGTGTGGCCGATTCGGAGTCTGGCTAAGATGATTTCTTCTGGTCTGTTTGCTTTGTACGTTGTAAATTTTTCTCTCGAGATTACTCGGTACTGTTGGATTTCATTTTTTATTTCGGTGATATCGGACGGGTCTAGTTCGAGTGTTTTATTAGGTCTTTAATTCAGCATCCGAAGGAGTTGCGAGTTTTATATTTTGTTGAACATTTTGAGAAGGATTTTTAGGTTTTCAGTATTCAATTAGTATCTTTAAAGGTCGATTGGCATTTTATGGAACGTCAACGTCACGTCACGGACCGGCAAGGCCTCGTCAAAATATAGTATTATAGATTTCTTATGATAACATTCGCATAGAGACTTAATGGAACGCACCGTCAACGTCACGAACCGTCCATATAAATTTAAATACAATAATTTGACGTGACATTGCCGGTCGGTGACGACGTTGACGTTCCGTAAAATGCGAATCGACCTTAAAGCGGCCCCACACCAAATTCCCAACGGCGATCCGGTTTTGACTTTTTTATTTGAATTTTGCCTTTACCTTCCATGAATTCATTTTACGTAGCTACCGTATTAAAGTGGAAGCACATTCTTTCTTTGGACATGCGAGATTGGAAGATTATTCTCGATGGGGCTAGGATGGTTTCGAGAGCTTCGATGTACATCTAAGCGCATGTTACTTGAAATATTGAAAAATTACTTGTAGAAAGTCCGAAACCCATCTCTTTTGACTACACCAAGGTGGATTTGCCCCCAAGTCTCGAGTAAATCAAAGTAAAATTCTTAGTGCTTCAACAAAATTAAATCATGTCTAATTCGATGTTGGGGGAATTTGGAAAGTCGGGTATACTAGTCCGCTCAACAAAGGATTGAATCTAAATTTTTAGTTGCCCCCGCCAACCGTGCATATTGCGAGCTGTAGCATTATTTAAAGTATTTAAACAATGGCTGTAGTTAGTATCCGAGGTACTAACTCCTAGCTTGCAGGGAGAAAAGACGAACGCAATTTATATACCTGATAGTTTTCGAAATACAACAAGTAAAACTAAAATGTATTTGGTTTTTAAGATTCAATTTATTACCGTAAGGACAATTTCTCATGTTTCAGTTAAAGTTATCCAAAAGAATGAAAATTCATTTGTTCCCTTTAAAATCGCAAGTCATAGGTAATAATAGTTTTATAATTATAAGACTGTTTATTACCTACTATTTTAAATTTCACATTATAACTTCACCATGGAGCAATACATCAACAATTTTCACCTTTTCTCAAAGAAGAAAAACGATGACTTACCCTCCCAATTTAATGATCCCGAGATAATAAATAACTATTTTTCTGATGTAATTACCCAAAATAAAATTCTTCCCGATTTCGAGTTGTTAAACTTCTATATAGCAAATACTAAGTCTCCAGAATCTGAACCATTTACCTTCACTCTAATTAACGAGGCAGAGATTGCTCAAATATTGGCCACAATTACAACGTGGTCCGTTGGTGCCGATGAAATAAGCATTTCAATGGTTGCAATTTGCTTACCGTTCCTATTGCCTTACTTACTGCATGTCATAAACTGCTGTTTGGAGAGTAGCTACTTTCCAAATACTTGGAAAAGGGCGCACGTCCTACCTCTTCCGAAATGTAGCAACGTACAGAATTTATCTGACCTTAGGCCTATTAGCATTTTACCTGTATTGTCTAAGTTACTGGAGAGAGCTATGGAAAAGCAGATAAAAGACTATATTTGTAAACGAAATATTCTGCCTAACACGCAGTCTGACTTTAGGGCCGGTTATAGCTGTTCTACTACTCTGTCCAACATAGTCGACGATATTATTACAGCAACCGACAAAGACATGCTCACAATAAATGTGCTTCTCGATTATTCGAAAGCATTTGATATGCTAGACCATGAAATGTTACTTGCAATTCTACATTTTTTCGGATTTGGTAAAGAAGCGCTGGATTTGGTCAGAAGTTTCTTAACAAACAGATCCCAGAGGGTCAAAATCGGAACCCTGTTATCTACGGCAAGAAAAATCTATTCAGGCGTACCACAAGGTTCGATATTAGGTCCGCTTTTTTATATTATTTACACCGCGAATCTTCTCAGTGAAATTCAAAATAGTAAATATCACTCATACGCGGATGATACTCAAGTATACTTACATATCATTTTCTCCACCTGATGTAGACCTAGCGGTACAAACGCTTACTAATGATCTGAACACGTTATTTGAAACATCAAAAAAATACTCTTTGCTAATTAACCCTTTAAAATCAGTAGCACTGTTATTTGGTAAAACCCACCACCGAAGTTCCGTTTTGCAACAGCTAGTTATTAATATTAATAATCAAACAATTCCTGTAAAGGATGAAAACAGAAATTTAGGGTTGGTTATGGATAATGAATTGCGTTTTAAAAAGCACATAACTATATGTATTCAACGAGCATTTAGCAAACTCAAAGTTTTATACAGATATCGGTATAATTTTAATTTTGACACTAGAGTCCGACTAGTAAATGCACTAGTGTTATCACATTTTAATTATGCTGACTGTGTGTATGGATATGGACCTTGTTTGGATGTCGCAGACAGGAATAGAATTCAACGTGTACAAAACGCATGTATACGGTATATTTTTGGCTTGAGAAAGTATGACCACGTTTCCCTCAAACTTAAAGAACTGAATTGGCTTAATATGGCTAACCGTCGGTTGCTACACTTTTTATGTTTCTCACATCGAGTGTTATTCTCACATCGAGTGTTATTAATACAATCACCTCAGTACTTATACAGGGTTACCCGACATTCGTCGCAGCATACGAAAATGCCGTTAGCTGCGTGCAAATATGAATTACAATACGACGTACACTTATATAGTAATGCAGGTTTCGACGCAGCATCGGCCGACACGTTAGAAATTCCATGGAAAAGGGAAGTGATCATGCAGGATGAGCACAAGGAAACATAACGAAAGAAAAAAATACATCCTTCGGTTACATTAAAGAAGAAACGGCCTTCGGTAACACAAAAAAAAAGAACAGAGCAGTCTAAGAAAAGAAATTGCGTCGCATCTGCCGTTATAGTATCTAAGTGTTCAAATAAGTCCCCGCCAGTAGGAATCGTGTAATGCAATCGGTTTTCAAATTCTGCAGTCACAACTCACAGACATGAGTTGGGTATGAGTGATACCCGCAGAACATTCACGGATGGCATCTTCCAAAGCAGCAGTGTTCGGAAACGGTCCACGTGCATAAATGGAATCCAGGTGACCCCAGTAGAAGAAATCGAGAGGGTTCATGCATGTTGAGCGTAAAAATTGTGACAGGAATTATCCGATGAGTAATGACAAGCAGTGACGAATCCTAGTACCATCGCCATAGAACTGTATACGTAGTAACACGTATACAGTTCTATGACCATCGCTAACTCGTTGACCAATGCTGCGTCGAAACCTGCATTACTATATAGGTGTACGCCGTATTGTAATTCATATTTGCACGCAGCTAACGGCGTTTTCGTATGCTGTGGCGAATGTCGGGTAACCCTGTATAATAAAGTGAGATACCGTACGGACGTGCATAATATTAACATTCGGAATAAAGGACTTCTAACTACTCCATTACATAAATATACCTCATTTGAAAAATGCTTCTCCTACTACATAGCGAAACACTACAACGCTCTACCGGACTCTTTCAAAAATGTATCTTTGTTGGCATTCAAAATAAAAACAAAAAAGTGGTTATTTGAGAGTCAATGTATGTGTTAATTAATTAAAATGTGATTACTTGTATTGGTCTTTTTTTTTATATTTTTTTTTATTTATTTATTTTTTTTTTTTATACTTGTACGCTACAGAAGTGAATTTTTTTTTGTCTTTTTAAATTTTATAACTTAGGATTCTCATTCGCCATCATAAATAAATGTATAATATGTGTTGTGGGTAAAGTGTAAGAGCAGATATTTTAATCTGAACTTCGCCCATTCACTGCGGTTCATAAATTCGATTCTTCTTTTCTTTGTACATGTTTATATATTATTTTAGTTGTGTTTTTTTTGAACGGAATGTGAATAAAGGCCATTATTATTATTATTATTATTAATCATTTCTTTCCATTATGGACTCTCTCAGATAGATTTATAATTTGAACGGTGACTATGAAGCCAGACCATATTTGAATCCATACTTATTTTGCGATTCTTTCTTAATGCGACAGCTTGATTCTACATACTGCAGATTATACATTGGTACCATAGGTGCCATAATAGAAAAATTTGGTACAGATATCTGGGTGTAATCGTGGCAAAATGATTGTATCAGGTGTAATACAATAGTCTCAGGCTTCTGTGGAACTAATTCAATTATATACAATTTTATTTTTCTCGAGAAACACAGATTTTATTTCACCCCTTAAAACTCAACGTCACTATTGAAAAAAAAGCGGTTTACCTTTTTAATTGAATCCTTGTGTTCCTGTACGTATTCCTTTTTGAGCGGCTCGGTTTGAAGGTCTGGCAGCGAGTGACTAATACAAATTGAAGTTTGCTTTGCAAGACAATCCTCTCCCTCCGATAAATCTCGACACGTCTTTTCTCTAATCCACTTCCACGTCGCCGTACATTGGTAGCTTACGGCCGCAAGTAATACCAAAGCCATTGCTATAATTATTGCTCCTCCAATTACTTGATATGGAAACACTCTCCACTCCCAATCGTCTGAAAGGAAGGAAATCGATTAGTTTTGGGGCCCGATTACAATTCTTGTTAAACTCAACCTTGCATAAACTTAATCAAGATATTACAATGACGGCAGCGGACATATTCGCATTGTTCGTTTGAGATTTTACGTTTTTAATTAAATGTCAAATCCGTCGTGCGAAAAAAACGTGGCATACGAGAAAACATTTACAGATTAAATGTGGGCGCTTTTCCTTTGTTTTTCTTTTAAAATTACATCATATGTGGGCATATTGGGAAACTATGCGAGAAGATTAAATGCGGGATGTCAGGGACAAGCCGCAATATCAATTTATAAATATCATTCATTCGGAAGACTAAATGCTATTGTGTACCGATAATGATAACCCAAAAGCAGGGCAACTGGGTGACCGAACATTCATATGAGTTAACTTTGCAAAATAAATACACTTTTATTTCATTTAGTTTTAATGTCATGTGAAAGCATGCACATGGGATAGAAAAATATACGTTCATTTTTAATCTTTTAGAATATGTGCTGTGTCAACTACCATCTTTTAAGCTAAAAAGCAAAAAGAAGCTTCTTCCGGTCCTGTACTACTGCATTTTCCATCTAGGAGCAAAACCTTCTAGTACTAAATTAGGTCTCTTAGCAACAACTCTTCGCCATCTGATGGTGTTAATTCGTGCTTATTAAATTGTTATTCAGTATACGTTTTAGATGCTTTTGGGAATTTGCATAACATGTCAGATTTCTGTTAAACAATGGCGATCACGCCAATTCTCTACGATCTAGTGTAACTGGGCACGGTCAACTGGGCTCGGCCGACTGGGCGCTGCCATTTGAAACGCCGCCGGGACAACTATATGACGCGGGGAGAATTAGGCGCGCGGATGACTTGCCACAAAAGGGTCGTAAAGCAAATTGAAGGATAGGCTGAAAATCTATTTTCGTTTTCATATTCCTATTTTATCAATTTCAACAATTTAAAATGTTATTAAGTTTAGGATTAAAATTCTTAGTTTATGCTCCTCTAGGAACCCTTTACGAAAACTTTTATAAAACTCGTTGTCGTTGCCTTATCAAATATTCTGGAATGTGCATGGACATCAAGGAAATTTGTGTGAATATTTTCTCATCAAAATTGATAAAGTTCGCTCCACATTTTGTTAGGGCCTAGGCCTTATTATATTATAATTAGTTACATCGTATTCTGAAATATTAGCTAATTATGTATACTAAATGAGAGTGGGCAGCGGTAGATGTAGGGAATCAGTACATATTACAATGTTCCGGTTAAAATTGAAAGCAGGATCGAAGTGGTCAAGGGCTGCAGAGATGTCATACAGTTCTGCCGTGAGGACCCTGCTGCTTGTCGGAACCTGATACAATTGAGTTGTGCTGTAGTGCACGACGCCTTCAGAGGTTCTGAACCCATCAGTATAATAAATTAAAGCATCCTCCAGTTTGCTCAAAATGAGCTGGAAACGGTTACGTTTGTCGCTCGTTGGGAGTGTCTGATTGAGTATTCTGCATTTGAGTGTGGAAAAGTCGGTACTTTGGATGGACTTTCAGAATATTTGTCAATTCAATTGAAAACTTTGTAGAAAACTATGTGAACGTTGTGCCCTAGTTTTCGTTTCACTCAGAGACAAAATGCCATGGTGTTCGGGTACCGGATGTAGCAGTAACAGCAAAAATTCGCGTTTATTTCGTATACCACGTGCTGGATCAAAAGTGGAACGAACAAACTTGTAGTTAAAACTCATTGACCGCCCCGATCTTCCTTTAAAAGCGAAGATTTGCGAAGTAAATGATGAGAACGTCATATCTTAAGACAACCAAAAAAATCAATTGAATTTTCTAGAAACATTTAGAACTAGAGGAAAGGGAAAATATGCTCATTTATCAAACAATGGACTTATTACAACCATATACTGAAATCATTTCCAAAATTGATGGAGGTGCTGGTTGTCCATAAAATTAGTGATTAACTTCTAGAGTTTATTTAAGTGTTTTGACGTATCAATGCAATAACCTTCACCTAAAGTGTCACTTTTTGTCCCGCCGGGATTAAATTTAGACGAAAATCCCGGAAGGATGAAATTACTAACAAGGCAATTTCAGTGGGTTGTTCCACATTTTGTATGCGGCACTACTTCTTAAACGCATCGTACTGCTGCTCATATAGTTTTTTGGATTTCGGTGGTATCAATTCTTTACCTAGTTTGGCTGCTTTTTATCAATATCAAATACACCTTTGTCACCCACCACCAAAATTATGACACTAGCAATGACAGTTTCCAAATTATTTTTGTTACCATAGCATAGGGATTGTCATACCAACGCAACGTTCCTATATAACTTGTTAGTAGCAACAGTTTTGAAAGAACGCGTTAATCTAACACCATAACATATTAAGTAGTTTACCGGTTTCTGGAATTTTGATGGACTGAAGAGGAACGCACTTTAACATTTGAAAATTCCACAGATGCTCACTATACCATAATTCTTTTTTAGGGGACTACTGCGCATCGTTCCCTTGAAAGAAGGTTGGGAATTGCTTACGTAACTAGTATAGAGTATATATAGAACAGTCGCACATGATTTTCTTAATTTCCACATAGTTATCCGAAAAGATTAACGAACCTTTTAAAAGATGCTGGAGGGTTTCGCTTTAGCACGATTACTTTAAGAATCAAGTCGCATTTTTTCCCGTGGCATGAGGGTAGGATGTGACATGCAATTTTTTCGTTTGTTCTGCAATGGCGTGATAAAAGGGAGGTTGCAGTCTGTCGCTAAATTATTTCAGGATTATAATAAATAAAGTTATATTACAGCTGAATCAATCCTGTACTTGATATATTATGTTTATTTTTCAATCATGCCATATTTAATTTCTGTAATTGTTCTGTAATTGGGATTAATATTATTATTATTATGGTCGGTGTTTCTTGTGAGAACTCAGGTCTAGCCTGGGTAACTAATCGCACGGATTAAAATCAAGTAACGATTAGTGTCTGTGTCTGTGTCTGGTGAAGTTATGTAGGGTTCTAAAAAAAAAATAAAAAAATAAAAAATAAATAAAAATTCACACACTCACATTGGAAATCTAGGGATAGTATGTAATTCATACTTACCAACATAGCTATTGATGGCCACAATAGTCAACGCTATCAGGAAAGAGGAAAACAAAACAAAATAATCATTATAATAATTCCTGTAATTTTATTAAATAGAGTTTATTGTGTAAGTGTTTCTTTGGCTTTGCGTTTGGGTTGAATACGAGTGGGTTGTGATAACGCGGTGTGTTTCTGCGAAGAAGGAGTTATGTGTTTTTTAACTGTGGTAGGGCGTGTAACTTTATTGGGTGGACCTGTCTTTGTGGTGCATGTTGCCTTACTTGTATTTATGGTGTTTCTTTGTTATTATTATTATTATTATTGATAAAGAAAAAGACGCATTGTGGGGAAAAAACCGGTCGAAGTGCAAAAAAGTAGGTGGAGATGCGTCATGAAGAAAGGAAGCTAAGGAATTCTTCGCGCAACCACCGAGTGGGGGAAGCTATGTGTTTCTGATCAGCGCAAAATGTGCATTCGGTTTTAAGATACGGATAATAACCGAAACATCCGATTTTACGACTGCAACCAGATTCGGTTACTCGGCAAAATACCGAATTATGTTCAGTGGCAGTAAAATAATACATGCGTTCACACGAGCGGAGATTCAAGATTTTTTGGAATACCGCAAAATCCAGGGGCAGGTCGGTTCTGTTTTTTAGCGTCGAATTGATAACCGAGACGCGCATGCTTCCTCGCAAGCGTCCGATCGCTCACTCACTCGGCCGTCCGTCCGCTCGCTCACTCACTCGTCTGTCCGTCCGCTCGCTCAATGGCTTCATGTGCATCGATTTAGAAGAGAACGGATGGGCCGATTACGATGAAATTTTGGAGGCGGATTTTTGTCAAGTTTGTCAAATCAGAGTTCGTGAATTGGAAATGTAGGCCAAAAAAATAAAGGAAGCCCCTTTGACATCTTCGTTAGTTATGAACTGAATTGCATGAAATTCAAACTGGGTATAGCTTTAGCGATATAATATGAAATGCCAACAGTTGCGCCTAATCCATTCATCACTCACATTGTCTTTTTAGCGCATCTTTGCAAAATTATTTGTAAAAAAGTGGCTTACTTTGGATGGGTAGCTGGCAGCAAATGAGAGCACTTGTAGAAAGACGAGGAGTATGCGAATATACCTATCGGGGGCGTGTAACTAGTTTATGGTCGGCGCTACATGATGTGTGGTCGGGCGCCATGTCCCAATGTGATTTACGTCGTGGTGATTTCTCATTTTGCAAGGCGCGCGTAGTCGACCGGATTACGATGAAATTTTGGAGGCGGATTTTTGTCAAGTTTGTCAAATCAGAGTTCGTGAATTGGAAATGTAGGCCAAAAAATAAAGGAAGCCCCTTTGACATCTTCGTTAGTTATGAACTGAATTGCATGAAATTCAAACTGGGTATAGCTTTAGCGATATAATATGAAATGCCAACAGTTGCGCCTAATCCATTCATCATTCACATTGTCTTTTTAGCGCATCTTTGCAAAATTATTTGTAAAAAAAGTGGCTTACTTTGGATGGGTAGCTGGCAGCAAATGAGAGCACTTGTAGAAAGACGAGGAGTATGCGAATATACCTATCGGGGGCGTGTAACAAGTTTATGGTCGGCGCTACATGATGTGGGGTCGGGCGCCATGTCCCAATGTGATTTACTAACGTGGTGATTTCTCATTTTGCAAGGCGCGCGTCGTCGACCGGCTAGGCGATCGCTGCGAATTTTGTCACGCGGCTTCTTAAAGCGGCCTCTCTTTCTCGTGTCGCCATAATAAAAGCTAAAGCTTGAGAAGTGGCCCAAAAATTGAGTACTATTTTGCGACAGTTTTTCTTGCGAAATCCACCGAAATAGCGAATTTATGAAGTGAAGTCCCTTCGATCTCACACGAGGATAATTTTTGTCAT